AAGCCAGGTTATAACAAGACCAAAATCTGGAGATGCACGGGAGAGCTGCCAGTGCACGGCTGGTGAGTACTGCGCCCTGCTATAGGGAGGCGTCACTCTGCACACTCAGCCAGCATTGCTGTGCTCTCTTAATGGCCAAATAGCATGGACCCGGGTTCCCAGCCAATCCTGATTGGCCAGGAAGCCGGCTCCATGTTCCCTCGCGGCACTGCTCTTACCGGAAGTTCTGGTATTGGGATAAGTATGGGAGCATTTTGGCGAGTACTCACCCAAATACTCGGTGTCGGCCCTTGATACCGATACTAGTATCGATATCGGTGCATCCCTAGTGTATTTCCACTTTTGCAGTCAAATGTGAAAAAATACTTCAATAACAACAAATTATTTCCAAAAATATTTGTTACATTTTAGATGTTCTGTTGCAGCAGGCAACAGGCTGAGATTTTCTCAGCACCTTCACAATGATTTGTCCTAACAGAAAGACTTAGAACTGAAATTTGAGGATTGTGTTTTGCTGATTAACTTCATTAAGATTTGAATGCAGGAACCAGGAATGTAATCCATTTGCCCATTGCCCCTCACAACCCCCCCCCCCCCGACTTTAAAAAAAGTAGGAGAATCACATATAAATTTTAACTCTTAAGAAGCCAAGAAACCCTTACCTAAATAAAAGCAATTTAAACTGCAGGAAGCATTTTTAATATTTTTTAGCTTATGCTGTTTGAATGGGAACATGTAACAAATATAAAATACCGTATTTTTCGCTCCATAAGACGCACTTTTTTCCCCCCAAAAGGAGGGGGAAAAAGTGCCTGCGTCTTATGGAGCGAATCCCGACGCCCGAGACATGCAGTTTCGGGCGCCGGGCGAGTAGTAGGAGCCACTGCTCGTTTAATACGAGTGATCTAACGAGATCACTCGTATTAAAGCCGAGCAGCGGCGGCGGCGATCGAGTTCAGCAGCAGGAGCCACTGCTCGTTTATTACGAGTGATCTAATGAGATCACTCGTATTAAAACCGAGCAGCGGCGACGATCGAGATAACCATGGAGCAGACGAACAATAGACGTTCTTCGCCTGTTCTGTGTCATCACTGAGACAGTGGCGCTGTAATCACAGTGCCACCTGTCTCAGCGGTCACTAACTGCAGCTTCTGTGACAGCTTCTGTCATAGAAGCTGTCATAGAAGCCACAGTCTCGAGTGCTCCATAAGGCGCGCCGGACCTCCCTGCGTCCTATGGTCCGGTGCGTCTTATGGACCGCAAAATACGGTAGGTGTTATCCAGTTTGGCTGTGAAAGTGGAAATACACTTTAAGTTTTATACCTGCAAACATTGCTGTATTACATTTCCTGTATTATCTTTTAATTCCACATGAAGTTTATGTGTATATTGTGTGCAATACCTAGATACTCAGACCACCAAATACCAGAGCATTTAATACAACACTGTCAGAACTGCACATATAATGATCCCTGGTCTTACTTTTTTAAACAACAGAAACCATGGGAAGAGTTGGCTTTCTCTCAATTCACTCATTCAAAAATCAACCTGATGGCACTAAGACCAACTATTGTGACATTCATAAAAAAACTGATATTGGGTACAGGTTAATCTTAAAAAATATACATAATTTCTACTTTTATTGCAAAATGTGTAAAATAATGAAGGTGTTTACAGCACAGTGTATAAAACATCATCACATAGAAAAAGAAGGTGAGACAGCGGGGTAGGAGCTGTTGTGAGATCTCCCCGGTACACCTTGCTTTTATGTGGTTATGTTTTTACAGAGTGTTGTAAACACCTTGAATTTGTATATGGTTTATTTTATTAAATAATGAGAAGATGTTTGTATAACACGTGGCATGTGTGACCAACAACAATCTTCTTGGAGTCTGCTGCTTTTTCAACCACCAGTACAGGTACTTGCAATTAACCTGATCAGAAATTTCAGATGGTGTTTGAAGGATGTCTGGAATTTATTATAATACATTTAGTATATAATTGCTTTGATTAAATGATCATTTAAGTAATCAAAGCAAAGTTTAAAGCTCAATTAGTCACAGAAAGGCACTGTACTAACAACCAGGGCTGGCATGAGGGGGGAGGCGCTGCCCTATTCATGGGGGGGAGCACCACGTGGCGAGCTGCGCCCTCCTCACCACATGTTTGTCCTGGCTTTCATTTTGCCTCTGGCCGGTCTGGCACAAGGAGACTGGCAGAGAACACACAGGAAAAATATCCCACAATGTCGCTGCAAACTTCCGAGCCCATGTGAAACCCATTTGGTGAACTCAGAGCTGCGCAGTCAGGCCCGTTGCAGACCTGAGCGATCCGGGATCGCACGTCTGGGATCCGGGATCGCAGACAGTGATTGCCGCGTGGCCCCATTGATTTCAATGGGGTGACATCCACGCGGCAATTGCAGAAAAAAAGTGCATGTACCTTTTTTTTGCGATACACGACGCACAGCTGTTTTTTTGTTCGGATGCACGGGCGGAATCGCGTTGGGAAACCGTGCAATCTGCCTGGCGCGACTGGGGTGCCATCAGAAAAATGGCACCCACAGCGCGATCGTCTGTGCTGGGCGAGTCTGTGACCGCGCGAATCATGCACAATTGCCACGCGTTTGGCAATGTGTGTTACATTGAATACACATGGGGTAGAATCCCCTACATATCATATAGGTATTTACTACAATTACTGAAAGAGAGACCAACCATTCACGGGCATTTGAGCATGCTGCCTGTGCCTGTCACTGCTGAGATGTCGTATTTGGAAAATAAAAAAGACATCATAGAAAAGAGAAAATGAGGTAGATTACCTAAAATTGTAATGTGCTTGGAGTCTTGTTGTGTGACCTTTAAAATAGTGCTTGGCTGAGTTCAGAAAATAGAAATCTTTTCTGTACCTTCTGTATCATTTCCACTTTGTACTTCACCTATGATTTATGGATGGTTTCTCAGTTCCTGATCCATCAATTATGAGAATATTTGTATGATTTATAAATAATTGAACAAACAGCCATGATAACAATAATGCAACTAAACGATTGTACAATTGATTTGAACAATGCAGGGCTAATTGCAGACACATTCTACTTCCTTCAATGAAATGTGAGCGACATTCATCTAAGGCGTAAGACAAATGCCCGGGGTAGTAATTTAGTTCTACATGTAGAAATGTTCAACCCAGACTCGCCCCCACTCGGGGGCATCGGCCCATACAAGGAATGTGTTCTATTTTTACTGAAAGTGTCAATTTAAGTATGCAATGCAAGAGCATACCCACATCTAAAAAAATAAATGATTTGTTTAGATAGACCCTCTTGATAGATTGTAAGGGGTTGGTAGACCTTCTTGATAGATTGTACAATAAGACAGTCATCTACAAAGCTTGTGTATTGGGAACATGGGCTTTGCCATGCAGCAAAAAGCCACTGGGTCATTTAAGGGACAGCTCTCCTGTTGCTTATACCTGCTAAAGCAAAGTGAATTTTGCCTGCTTAAATATCAATTTAGTCTGAATAGAGATTACACAAGGCTAGGTACTCACCCCCATGTCACACCAGTGATGACAACTGGCTACTCAGCTACTCATCTCTGCTTTAGGGCCCATTCACACCAGCTGTGTTGCCTTCCGCACTTCAGTCCCAACCCAAAGACAATTTATGTTATTTATAATCAATACAGTTCACACCATAACATTGCGGTGGTGTGCGCTGAAAACAGTACTGCCGCAATTCACCTTTGAACTGCGCTGAGGCCGATAGAATTGAATGACATGTTACTTTGTGAGATTTCAATAAAGTTCTAACAAACAAAGTATACATTGTGATGTGCTGTTTTCAGCGCATTGACACAGCAACCTAGAGACTGCACACCGGTGGCTGCATTCTAACACTGCTGCTGGCGTGAACAGGCTCTTAGGGGAGAAAGAGGAGAGGACCCCCTTACCCAGAAGTATTGGGTATTTCACTATACTCCAGATGATAAACAGAGGAATGTGGAAGTAAATGGCAGCTGAGTATGTGTGTCTGTAGGGGAGCAATTAAAGTGATAAAGGTTTTTGCCTTGGTCTGGCTGAGGTTCACCCTACCTTCCTTCCTACCCCAATAGCTCAGGACCTTCGTGCAACCATAAAGACATTTCAGGATTCCTATATAAGCACCAGATACACCAGCACCTATACATTGCAAACCATGCTTGGCTTAGCTATATAAATATGCATGTGTGTGTCTACTCTAGGCATAGACATGCAAAAAGCCCATTCTTCTGACAGAAGATGAAAGATGAATTCCCAGATCATGTTTGTCTAAAAGATCTTTAAAAAGTAAGTTGTCTCTGGAAGTTTAAAATGCTGCCAACAATGATAAACCTGTATGGGAGAATTGATATTGTTCAGTTACATACAGGTTTGCTTGCTGTTTGTCTGGCTGAGGTCCACCCTACACTCCTCAACATTCCAACAGATCAGGACCTTCCTACACCCATAAAGACATCTCAGCATTTCTATACAAGCACCATGAACTAACCAGTCGAGCAGGTCTGTATATGCAATTAGTAAGGGGACTCTCCCTGCTTAGGGGATTACTGTGTAGTGACAGCATTCTTAAATATCTACTAGCTGACCAGATCAGAATTTGCCGCAGAGCATAAAAAAAAAGAAAAATGAAAAATCAATGCAATTCTAACATTTCCCTATCTGGCATCACAACCGTCGTCATTAAAAAATTGTCTGTGTCCTTCAAACTGTATCTGTAAACCGTGTGTGACCTTGACTGCATTTTTAATATTCTATCACGTCCTGTTTAATTCATTTAAACAGCTCGATGTTTCATCACTCCGGTGCATGCTGCAGTTACACATGCTGACGTGCTCAGTGGTTTCTGCAGAGCTAATCTTTTCCTTTACACAGGATGTGTGTAATAATCATGTTGTGCCTACACAGACTGAACTGAAAATCCTATCTACAGTAACTGAGCCCGTTGCCTACTGCTTACCTGTATACCTGTGCACGGAAGATGGTTCTCTTTTTTTTCCAGCTGTCTCCTAGCAACCCATCCTTATCCACAGTTCCAAGGACCAGTTTTAGGGAGATTCTGTACAAACTCTGTAGCAATTCCCATCTCTCCAGAAGGGTCAGATAGCTAAAAGCAAAACTGAGGCAGCTGCAGGCCGTATACCAAAACCCCTCCTCCTTCTCTCCCTCCTTCCTCCTGCCTGTCTCTTCCAGTCTGAGCAGAGATCCTTTAGCACCCATGGGAAACACAGATCATCTGTCCAGTGCCACGGCTTTTGGGGATGAATATGTGACCATCACCAAGTATCAATTTCAATCAAAGATAAAGTGACACATTATGTGCATAATGAAAATAGTGTATGACTGTGGATGGCTTCAGAATACACGCACACAGATGGATCGGTTAATGAATTATTTATCTTACTGAAGAACTTTCTATATTTTCATTGAGTCGCCTTTGTGCACAGCTGTCAGCAGACAGAACAGTAGAGTCAATTTAAAGAGACTTAGTTGCTAAAAATAAGTACAAATAAAAGATCTTTCTACCAACAAAAAAAAAGTAAATACTTACCTCTTCCTCAGCCTGCACTATTTTAGTGCAGTAATGTAGGGATCAGTGCGAGGAACCACTGAGCGCAACGGGAACCGAGAGATCAACAGCTTCTAAAGAGACTTCTTAAATAAGTCCAAATTTCCAAAGCATTTGTCTAAAATTTTAATTCACCAAATGAACATTTTATGAACTCCAGGCAAGCAAAAAAACTGACCCTTGCAGTGGGGCTACCTCTGCACTGCAAGGGTCAAGTTTTAACTAGGGGGCTCAGATAAAACTGTATTACTCACCTGATCCTCAGATGTGCCAGCTCCCTCCGGGCTGCTAGACTGGTCTCCGCACCCTCTTCTCCCCTGGGCTCCAGTGGTTTAAGGATCATTGACATCATCACATCTTATGCAGGTCAATAGTCTTGCATTAGACGTGAGAATGCCAAGGGACATTCCAAAGCCAGAGGGAGAGAGAGGTTAGGTGCTGACCTCTATGAGATCCAAGGAACAGATGGGTAATTCAGCTTTATTTGCGCCCCCTAAACAAAATGAGCTCCTAACCCTTGCAGTATAGCGGTCATTTTTTTTCTTTACCTGTTCTTCTCGTGGGCCCTGCCACACCAGCTCTGGTGCGTTCCAGCACGATTCACTGCTTGAACACATCCCACGATTCCCACAAGCACGATTCGCTGCTGGAACGCACTGGAGCGCATCCAGGTAGGCTTCCCACGTTCAGGGGTAAGAGGGGATGTGGCGGTGCATTGAAGTCAATGGAACCGCACCCCGCCCCCGCCCGCAGTGCGATCGCCCGCACCGGAACACATGACAAAACAATGCCTGCGTTCCGGTGCGATCTAAAAAAATAGTGCTTGCCCTGGGTGCGGGGGGCATGGCTGCAGTACCATTGACTTCAATGCACCACCACACCCCCTCCTGTCCCTGAACACAAGGAGCCCGCCGGGATGCGCTCCAGTGCGTTCCAGCAATGAATCATGCTGGAACACACCGGAGCTGGTGTGAACCAACCCTAAAAGAGAAGTTAGGCTCAATTTACAAAGCTAAGACACCAGGATAGGGATAAAGTAACAGTTATTTAACAATACAGCTGACTGACTGCAGGGGAGCAGGGGATGCTTCTTGCAAAGACACTGCCACTGTGCCCTGCATGGGCATTGTGACAGTGTCTTTTTTTTATACAGGATACATTAAGTTTAAAGAAGTCCACATGGCATTGTGAATTTGTCTGTGATCAGTGCTTCAGAACCACACTGAGGAAATTCCACAGCCGCATCCCACTGGTTTGAATTGGTACCTATGGAGATGCATACATTCGAAGTGCACATCTGGACCTATTTTGATAAACTTTGTGTTCAAACAGGATGTATTTTGGAAATCTTGCTATCTGCTGTCCAAACAATACACCAAACAATGATTACTAGACTTTCTGTATGTAGCACATACCACCACCAAACTGCATATTAAGATATATATTTATCAATCACTGCTTTGAGAGAATAAGGCCTCGTTCACACCTGACCGTTTTGTAGGGCATTCTACGCTCGACGAACGCTCTACAAAACGGTCAAAAATATAAATTGCATTGTAGTCAATGCCCTCGTTCCCACCTAGGCGTATTTCCGCCCGTCGCTAACGCCCTACAAAACGGCCCACGCCTGAAAAGGTCCCGGGACTACTTTGGGCCGTTTTGTAGGGCGTTTTCCATTGGGATACAGCCAAGTAGCCTTTGGAATCGCGCAACTTTTTTTACCGTGAATCGCGGTAAAAAAAACGCGTTCCGGTCGCGCGACAGACACGCATATTACAATACGCCTAGGTGTGAATGGGGCCTAAGTGCTTCTAAAATGTTTACAAACAATGTATAAAAAAGTCTTGCCATATTTTTACTGCATTAGTGATAGCCCATAGTTCATCAGTGATCGACCATAGTGCATCAATGATTGTCCATAGTTCATCAGTGATGGTTCAAAGTGCAACAGCGATGGTCCATAGTTCATCAGTGATGGTCCACAGTGCATCAGTGATGGTCCATGGTACATCAGTGATGGTTCACAATCCATACATGTTGGTCAATAGTTATTTAGAGATGGATCATAGCATCAGTGATGGTTCATAGTGCATCAGTAATGGTACATAGTGCATCAGTGATGGCCCATAGTGCATCAGTGATGGTCCATAGTTCGTTAGTGATGGTTCAAAGTGTATCAGCGATGCCATTTTCTTACTGCATTAGTGGGAGCCCCTAGTTCATCAGTGATAGACCATAGTGCATCAATGATGGTTCATAGTTCATCAGTGATGGCCATAAATGTTGGCCCATAGTTATTTAGAGATGCATCATAGCATCAGTGATGGTTCTTAGTGCCTCAATGATGGTATATGGTACATCAGTGATGGTCCATATTGCATCAGTGATGGTCCATGTGCATCAGTGATCACACTGATGGTTCATCATCAGTGATGGTCCATAGTGCATCAGCGATGGTCCACAGATCATCAGCGATGGTCCATAGTGCATCAGGGATGGTCCAGAGCTAAGTTGATATGCTAACCTTCCCACATGCCCTTGATGCCATGCATTTAGTGTAAACACATGATGTAGGTATTTCTGTATTGGAAATAGGACAAAGAGGACCTAAGACAGTCTTACCAAGTCAGATGAGCTACAGATGAGCCCGGAGCTGAGCGATCTTTGGAGGTTTCCTGCTGCAGAGGCTCCCGGAGCCCAACAAGCATCAGAGACGAGATCAAGGGAAATATTTTCTTTACAAATAGCAGGAACTGTCTTCCAGCCATGTCGGGGGCTCCACAGGCTCACATTACACTTCAAAAGTCATGAGCCTCTCTCTTTTCATTTACACGGAGCGCCCAGCAGAGAGGATGGGACTCCAGCTCTAGAACACGCCCATACAGCTACAAATATACATTCTTTACAGGAACCCCGGCACCTCCTTCTGAACTCCTTCTTAGTCCCTCAAGAGGTCATCGCGGTCTGTGGCCAGTCCTCGCAGCTCAGATATTAAATCAGTTTAACTCGCAATAAAATACATCGATTCCATTCTATTGTAAAAGCAATGATCTCACTGTGAAAAATCTCGGGGTTTACTTGCGCCATCTAGTGGCTGGTTTACAGAATGCATTTCTAGACTAGAACCAGTAACACCATAGCAGTGCTGCGCTCTCAGCAGTGGTGAGAGAATGGGCTGCATGCTATTGTCACTGGGAAACACGTGCTAGGTTTACAGGTGAAACGCAAATAATTAGAATATCTTGCAAAAGTTCATTTATTTCACTAATACAACTTAAAAGGTGAAACTAATATATGAGATAGGCTCATTACATGCAAAGCAAGATAGTTCTAGCTGTGATTTGTCATAATTGTGATGATTATGGCTCACAGCTCATGAAAACCCCAAATCCACAATCACAGACAATTAGAATATTACATGCAATCAATAAAACATGGATTGTACATAGAACAATATCGGACCTCTGAAAAGTATTAGCATGCATATGTACTCAGTAAGTGTTATCTTTTACAGGGATTACATTTCATATTTAATAAAAAAATAAAATATCGAAGAACTGTCTGCCAAATTTTGTACAGATTTAACATGTTGTTACTTGTAAAGGGCGTGCGTGGGGCTGCCACCTGGCTGGTATTTTAGCAGCCTGGTCAGTATAAATTTGTCTTCTTGCCAATGTAATTAATAAGGCAGATATTTTTATTTTATTTTGTGTTTCCTCCCACAAAGTTGTATAATACAGTATGTAGTTCTGTTAATACAGTGACAATTCTATTGTATGTGATATCTGGGTTAGATTATTTTAACACAGTGTAATGTCCCTTAAGGTCCCCACAACACCTTACGATAATCGTACGATAATCACGGGAAATCCCGCAATCGTATGATTATCGTAAGGTGTGTGGAAGCCATGCGACCTCTACTACTGTAAGGTCGCACGACTTTAGGGCGCACCGATCGTTGCAACATACAAGCAATCCACCGGCTCTATAGCCGGCGGATCGCTTGTATGTTAACAGGCATCGCTGCCTGTTAAAATCTCCTTTGACGGCTCTGCTCTGATCTGCCTCCGCCCTCCTTTGCTTGCTATTGACTGGGAGGGAGAGTGCAGCACCATTATTGACTGCCAGGCTTGTTTCAGCAGAGCGGGAAGGCACCTGCAGGGGAGGCACAACAAGGCTGCTGGGGGCTTCACATGGAGCAGACATGGATGCTCCCCCCCGTTGCCCCCCCCCCCATGACCTCCGCACTGCGTCACCTAACTGACCTCCGCACTGCGTCAAATTACTGACCTCCGCGCTGCGTCACATTACTGACCTCAGCACTGCGTCACTTAACTGACCTCCGCACTGCGTCACATTACTGACCTCCGCACTGCGTCACCTAACTGACCTCCGCACTATGTCAAATTACTGACCTCCGCTCTGCGTCACATTACTGACCTCCACACTGCGTCACATTACTGACCTCCTCACTGCATCGCACTACTGAATTCTGCGCCCTGCGTCACATTACTGACCCCCCCACTGTGT